CTCTTTGGGTTGCTTGTGGGCCCTTGGGTGGGTCTTTTGGGGGCCCTGGGGGGGCTCCATGGGGCGCAGCGGCGCACATCCCCCCCCCCCCCCCCCCTTCCCGTAGCCATGGCAACCACCCCGCTGCCCGGCGACGCGGCGCTGATGACGTACCGCGGTCACGCGGTGCTGCACACTCTGATTCGCTGCCGCTTGGCCCCGCCCCCCGGAAGTGATGGCGGGCTCTTCCTGGGGACGGGCTGCGCCTCGGGGGCTGTGATTGGTAAGGGGGCGGGGCTTAGCTGCATTGCGTTGTGGGGGGCTGGGGTGGGCGGGGCTTGACGGACGGGCAAAGTTCAACGCTATTGGACAATTGGGCTCAAGGCTCGAGGGGGCGGGGCTTAAACCCCGATTGAGTTGCATGTAGTGGGCGGGGCTTTTATGACGGGGCGTGGCTGAGATCCATTACAGACTGTGGAGGGCGGGGCTTTGTGCGGTGGGCGGGGCTTAACGGAGGAGTGTGGCCAATCCCCATTGGGCTGTAAGGGGTGGGCGGGGCTTAAAGGTGGGGGCGGGAATAAACCGTTTTTTAATTAGCTGGGAGGGGCTTAAAGGGGGGGAGCCTCAAGACGTTTGCAGTGGGTGGAGCTTAAGCTGGAGGCGTGGCTTAACCTCATTGTCTTCTATAGGGAGAGGGCGGGGCTTGTGGGAAGGGGGCGTATCCAGACTCATGACCTCATTACCTTCCATTGGGCTCTAGAGCGAGTGGGTGTGGCCTAAAGTGCGGGGGCGTGGCCTGTTTTCCCATTTATTCTTATTGGTTTAGTTAGGGGGTGGGCGGAGCTAAAGGGAAAGGGGGCGTGGCCGGCTCGCCTCCCATTGCTTTCTATGGGTTCTATGGCTTGGGGGGCGTGGCCACCGGGGTGGGCGTGGCGATGGGGAGAAGTGGGGCGTGGCCAGCAAGCCATTCTGCTTATTGGGTGTGCAAGCCGGAAGTGGGCGGGGAATAAGTAACAAAGGCGTGGTTTCAGGCCGGAAGTGGGAGCAGGGGGGCGTGGCTTAACGCGGTCCCCGCCCCCTTCTGTCATGGCCGCAGTGTACGACGTGCTGACGGGCGCCGCCGTGCGGAAGTTGCCTCATCCCGGCGGCTGCGTCCGCGATGTCTGCTGGCATCCGGCCGGGGGGCGCCTCGTCAGCGCCTCGGTGCGTTCTGGGAGGGAGGGACTTCCGGTTTGGATGGGTGAGGGGGGGGGGAACTTCCGGTGTGGGGAAAGGGAGACTTCCGGTTTGGAGGTGGTTTTGGGGAAGGGGACGCTGGGTTTCGGGTCAGAATGGGGTTTCTGTGGGTCCCTATGGGTCGCTATGAATCTCTATGGGTCTTTGTGGGTCTCTATAGGTCCCTATGGGTCTCTATGGGTCCCTACAAGGTGCTATGGGGCACTTGTGGGGCACTCTGGGTCCCTATGGGTCTCTAGGGGTCTCTATGGGTCTCTCTGAGTTCCTATGGGTCCCTATGGGTCCCTATGGGTCTCTGTTGGTCCCTATGGGTCTCTATGGGTCTCTGTGGGTCTCTGTGGGTCCCTATGGGTTCCTATGGGTCTCTATGAGTCTCTGTTGGTCCCTATGGGTCTCTATGGGTCTCTGTGGGTCTCTATGGGTCCCTATGGTTCTCTGTGGGTCCCTATGGGTCTCTATGGGTCTCTGTGGGTCTCTATGGGTCCCTATGGGTCCCTATGGGTCTCTATGGGTCTCTGTGGGTCTCTATGGGTCGCTATGAATCTCTATGGGTCTCTATGGATCCCTATGGGGTGCTATGGGACACTTGTGGGGCACTCTGGGTCCCTATGGGTCCATGTGGGTCCCTATGGGTCCCTATGGGTCTCTATGGGTTCCTATGGGTCTCTATGGGGTCCCTATGGGTTTCAATGGGTCCATGTGGGTCTCTGTGGGTCCCTATGGGTCCCTATGGTTTCTCTATGGGGCGCTGTGGGTCCGGCAGTGGGACGGCAGCGTCCGCTTGTGGGATTTCGGGGCGGAAGCGGAGTCGCCGTATGATGACGTCAGCGAAAGGCGGCGGGGCGGCAAGAGGAGCGGCGCGGGATGATGACGTCACTCATCGGGGAGGGACGGGGGCACGGAGTTCTCCAATAAACGGCGCCGGGAGCGGCGCGCAGTGATGACGTCACGAGGGCGGGCGCCGTCGGGGGGGGGGGGGGGGAAGGAAAGGGGGCGGGCGAGGGGCGGTGCAGCCCCATAGCGGACCCATAACTGCCCTACAAGTGCCTGCCCCATAAGTCTTAGAGCTGCCCCATAGATACCCTATAGCTGCCCCACAGATGCCCCATAGCTGCCCCATAGATGCCCTTTACAGCCCCATAACAGCCCCACAGCTGCCCCATAGAGCCCCCATAACGACCCCATAGATCCCCCGTAGCTGCCCCATAAATACCCCATAGCTGCCCCACAGATGCCCCATAAGTCACCCATAGCTGCCACATATCTGCCCCATATCCACCCCATAACCCGACTCCCTGCCCCATATCTGCCCCATAACCCCATTCCCCACCCCACAACCCTCCCATATCCACCCCCTAACCCCATACCCACCCCATAACCCCATTTTCTGCCCCATATCCCCCCATATCCACCCCATAACTCCATTTCCTGCCCCACAACCCCACACCCACCCCATAACCCCACTCCCAGCCCCACAATCCCCCCATATCCACCCCATAACTCCATACCCACCCCATAACCCCATATCCGCCCCATAGCTCCATTCCCTGCCCCACATCCCCCCATATCAGCCCTACAAGCCCCCATATCCACCCCATAACCCCATATCTGCCCCCAAACCCCACTCCCTGCCCCATAAACCCCCCATATCCACCCCATAACCCCATACCCACCCCATAACCCCATTCCCAGCCCCACAATCCCCCCATATCCCCCCCACAACCCCATACTCACCCCATAACCCCACTCCCTGCCCCACAACCCCATACCCACCCCATAACCCCACTCCCAGCCCCACAACCCCCCCACAGCCGCCCCCCAATCCCCCCTAAAAGCCCCCCTTCGCCCTCCGCCCGCCCTTGGGGTCGCTCCCCTCCCCCCCCCCCCCGACCCCATAACGGCCATCATGGATTCCCTTCGCTATGGGGCGGCCGTGGGGCTGCGCTATGGGGCGGTTATGGGGCGGATCTGTGGGGCGGCCGTTTGGGGTTTGAGTTATGGGGCGGCGGTGATTTTGGGCAGCCCCGTTTTTCCCCGTGCCCACGTCCTGTTGGTGGCCCTACTTGTGGGGTTGAGGTGTGGGGCAGCCCCACGGAACGTCCGGGCCTCACCCCATAACCTGCTGGAGGCGTGAGTTATGGGGCGAGGAGGGGGTGGGGGAGTTATGGGGCCGGGGGTTGTTATGGGGTTATGGGGTGGGCTGTGGGGCTGAGGGGAGGTTATGGGGTTATGGGGTGAGCTGTGGGGCTTGGGAGGGAGCTATGGGGTCCCTATGGGTCTCTGTGGGTCTCTATGGGTCCCTATGGGTCTCTATGGGTTCCTATGTGTCCCTATGGGTCTCTATGGGTCCCTGTGGGTCTCTATGGGTCTCTATGGGTCTCTATGGGTCCCTATGGGTCCCTGTGGGTCTCTATGGGTTCCTATGTGTCCCTGTGGGTCTCTATGGGTCTCTATGGGTCTCTGTGGGTCTCTA